TGCTGGACCTGCATACGTGAAGCTTATGTCCTTATCGGGAGTCTCGGCAAACGAAACATCTTCGGATGTGTCGCCAGTTCTGTTCAGCAGGTCTTTAAAATGTTGATCCCACTGTTTCCGACGTCTCACAAGGTCCGGTCGGAATTTCCATTTTTCGTGTTGTAGCATGCTTGTGGCGATTTTGTTATTTTTGCCATTGTTACTCAGAGTCGCACTCTGCATATACAACGTTCTCCAGTTCCTTACGTTAACCGCTTTTTTCAGCTTCGTTGCTTCTACCTCCTGCCATCATTGTCGGTCTTCTCTGAAGGTAGTTATTTATCGCTTTTGTGATGGGTCTGTGGATTCGTTCTCGCTGTTTCCTCTTGAAGGTTTAGGGTCTCGGGAAGAATTCATGACTTTCTGGTCCTCGTTGCAGAACGAATGGTCATCGCTGCTTCTTCGACGATGTTGCTTTTCAGTTGTTCTTAGAGCATCTTGTGTAGCTGTAAATTCTGCTTCCCTGCAACAGTGAATCTGTTTGCAGTTTCCCCTTTGAACGCTGCTTCAGTTATAGGAAGCGTAAACTTGTCCAAACCCTGTTAGCGTTGCCCTTTGATTTTCGTCATCCTTTGGTCTGTTGCCGGATGTAGTAGGATTCACTCTCTGCCCCGTGTTTCGATCGGGTGGTCGGTCTGACTTCTGAAGACCCCTCGAAAATTCAGGATTAGAGCTCCTTTATGATTGTTCACCGTTCGTCAGTGACTGATAAATTGGTATTACTCTAGCAGATGAAACATTAGCCTACACACTTGCGAAACGACTTTAAACATTGTCTTTGAAAGTAAAGCTTTTGCAAATGATGGCATAGAAACGAAGATTAACGTCGCACGATAAACTCCATAAATGAAAGGAAAATATGAGAGAGCCAGATTCCTGAAGGTTACAAACTTTTCTACTTTTTATTCATTCGTTGCATTTACAAATGGAGACACAGGTACAGCCCTCGTTCTGTTCAGTCTCTCGATGTCTTCCTTTGACTATAGCTCGCGATTAAATTCATGGCTTCCTTTTCCGTTGCTCTAATCAGCATCTGTTACTAACCATAAGCCAAAGGCCCTTCAGAGGTCGTTTTGCTGCATGCAGTCATCTTGTCCTTTGAGAATGCGCGATAGATTACTGGAAAATGAATCAGTACTGTATATTACCACTCATACTTTGACCTGCTTTTCATGGCAATTTTTAAGTCACTTGTATTTACAAAAGAAGCCCAGCACTCTATGATATCATACCAAAAGATAACGACATGATAGAGCAGATATTGTTAGTGTACGTTTTTTTCTCTCTCAGGGTTTTGTGTTATTATGTAAATTTATTGGATACGGAATAATATTATTTTAGTTTTGACAAATCCGCGAGAACTACTTATGGAAATGAAAAGCGAATATGGACTTACGTTAAAAAAGCACATTGTAGACAGCTTCAAGGCGGACAGCGCTATCGAAGTATTGTTTTGAAATTCTACTGATTCGATTTTCAGAGTTTAAAAGTTTACTCTGTAAATAATGTCGCAAAAAATTTTGCTTTTCAATATAAAAAGCGAAAACAAGTTTCCTAACATTATCATATACTGTTAAAGTTAAATCAGTAAATAACCAGTTTAATAACCTGTCTTTAAGGCCTTGACTTGATTTTAATTTGACTTAAAATTTATAATAATGTTTTACTGTTTTGGGGTTAAAAGTATTTTCGTTGACGCTGAGCTTTACTTAGTACGAATGAACACCTGATGCCATGCGTCCAGGTACCGCAGATACTCAAGTATCATGAAGTTTTGGTCTGCTTTATCGACGAACTATTTTTGTGAGGCACGAAAGGTGTTTTTGTGAGATTGTGAAATTCAAGCCTATAAACATATATGAAAACTTTGTTAACAGTCAACGCGTTTCGTTGCCAACACCAGTAACATAGTCAGAACTGATACTTTTTGGCTCTCTTTCTTCGGTGTTTCAAACGGAATGTTTGGAATTCATGCCAGTGATCATAAAGTAAGCATTATTCCTACTTCGGATAAAATTCTCCTAACTCCTTTTGTCACCGGCAGCATTCCACAGATGCAAAGCTTTACGGGCGGTGAATCATCCATTCATTTCATTTTTCTTCAGCTTCCTCGAACGTCGAGACAAGTTATCATCCGCTTTGAACTCGTGTGCTTTCTTTCATTGGGAATATCGTTGAATCGTATATCTTCAGACATGTTTGAAGGAATAAACGTCAGTTTCGAATATGCGCTCGTCAGAGTTTGAGCCGTATTTGAGTTGATTTACAAACTCTACTCGGTTAATTAGAACTTTCTTGAAATACTTTTTTGTGCCTCCTTAATTCGTCAACCGACTGTTTTCGTGATGCATGGTTGGAAAACCCTAACGCTGAACAGTGATGCGAAGGTCTGACTAACAATCGACGCATCGACCATCACAGGTAACTGTATCAGGACTAATATTTGATCTGCTTATTTGTCTCCAGACCTTCCAAGGAATGGGCGGTGCGACTTTGCCATATGATCTGTGTAATGAGTTTTTCAAGCAATCGGATCTCTACCTGGTTCGCAGTATATATGCCGACCAACGTTAGTTGACATCCAAGTCATAATTATATTAACATTAAACATGAACCTAAGACAACTTTTTTGCTGCCTTTAAATTATAAATCCTCATTGTAAATCTCAGAACTACGTCATCTTTAATTTGTAGAATTTGAATCCTTGTGGATACTGTAATTGTACGCTGTTTATGACTGCAAATCTTAATATTACTTCACGGCATATCACCTGACCGTTCAAAAAAGTCATTCTGGCTGACACGGACCGGTAGGTCTATCCGAAACTTGCATCTTTTGCAGAATTCTTCTATTTATGTTTATAAGTAAACTTTTTTCTCTCCATATGGAAATTTTTTGCGTAAATTTAAAATGCGTGCTATGATAAGACAATCTCCTGTCGCACTGTGCCGTTGCCTTTAATAGCCTAGAGGCCGGTTTATGCAGGCTACGGCTCCATAGTGTTTTAGCACCTGCGGTGCATGAGCACTAAACAACACCACTTTGTTGGATCGAACCTAAGCATGTTGGAGCATCAGCATGTGTGCCCTCTCCGTAGGCATATCTAATATATCGCGGTATTATTGGTTTGTTAGCAAACTGTTAGTTTTAATACCCCCCTCCTGCAAGAATAATAATTTCCTGTCACTTCTTTGAATACATATAAATGGTTCATTTTTTACATTGGTGCCAATACCCAACATATCAATACCGTCTTTCATGGCAAAGCGATCGAACATGATCTTTATGGCACTATATGAGTAAGACGTCATTTCATCACTCAAGACGTTCTTCTATACTACGGCAGTGTCTTCATGCAAAATTAATCACTTTGTTGTGTCGATCAGTTAATTTCGACGGCGGTGTATTTTTGGGTCATGGCACTTTGTTGTGTGCAGCATTAAATTTTCTGTTCAGAGCACCACCGAATGTACCCTTACCTTCGTCTTCATCTTCATCATCTTCCATCGCCGCTTCTCCTTTCGGGTCGCGGAGGCAGACACGTCAGACAGAGCTCCCAACGTTCCCCATCCTGTGCCAGAGTCTGAGCTTCGGCAAAAGACAAATCCAGTCTGGAACAGACTCCTTCCATATGTTTGCACCAGGTTAATCTTGGCCGTCCCCTGGCCCTTTTGCCGGTCGGTTACGCAAGAAAGAGTTGCTCGACCTTCCTTACTGGAGGCAGTCGCAACACATGCCCAAACCATAGCACCTGTGAATTCTTAATCTGGAGAAGCAAAGGCTGTAAATTAAGGCTCTTCCGGATGTCAGTATTCCGGACCATGTCGAGACGCGTAAAGCCAGCGACTCGTCTAAGAAAGCCCATTTCAGCAGCTTGTAC